TGGCTTTAATATTCTTTTATGGCTGGATTTTAGTCTTTAAGCCTTCACTGGGTTAAGGCCAAGTTAATTGGCTAGCTGTGAGACTGTAATTTTTTAAGCTCTTAGTTACTGTTGCTAATGACTTAGATGCTGATTTGTGGCCCCTTTAATAGGGGTCTCTAGATTGTAAGAGATATTATTTATTAAGTTACTGTTGCTAATGACTGCTGATTTGTGGCTCCTTTAATAGGGATCTCTAGATTGCAAGAGATATTATTTATTAAATATTTGATTCAAAAATCCTGCAAGATTTTTCTTATGGTAGTTTGATTGGGAACCTAAATGGCTGGAGGAAAGAATTCAGTTGATGCCACCTTCTGTATTGATGTAGCTCGAACTGGTGAAGAGGTTAATGTCCGCTTCTGAAGATCTATCTTTCAACGTCTCCTTAGAATAGAAGAATCCATGGTAGAGACGAAGAATAGCCAACTTGATCTTCACCAAATGATGAAGACCTTTACTGAATGGATGGACTTGATGTCCACTCGGTCTTACTATAATCTAGAGCCAATCAATTGAGATAACCATGGTGCCCCTTTCAACCTCGTGAAACACAAGCAAGAACACATCAAGAACTTTAACCAAAGACGTCCCCTAGAAAATGGGCCCTTCCCCTATTGTTGAACGTTGTGGTCTTAGTGCCAACAAAGTTTATCTTCCACCACACTTCAAAATTTCTCCTATTTGTATTATTTTTATGCACAAAGATGCTTTCATCATCTTCTTCTTTTTTTTTTTTTTAGCTAATTAATTCTATTTGTAGCATTCAAATTTGTATAAACCTTTCTCATTAGCATTTCTATCTAATTGATTGCAGAAGCAAAAGCTCTCTGAAGAATCTCCACATGATGATCCTACTACTACGCCAAAAGATGTTATTCTTCATAGTCTCACGGGGGAAGGTAGTTCTATTTTTCATTTTTAGTCCATCTATTTTTCTACGATACTAAATTTTTAATTGATTTGCTCCTTCTTTCCATATATCAAGCAAGCATATGATATGACTATGATACTAAACTTTTAATTGACTTCCTTTTCTTTCCATATATCAAGATAGAGAACGATTTGCATCTATTGAACTTTTTGCCACACCTTTTTTAAGATACTTTGGCATGTGGATTTTAATGCATATTATCATTTTTCAGAAATATATATAATACAATGTATAAGAGCATAAGAAAAAAGAGGCTAAACACTTACTGCAGAAAATGCTAGATAATAGACGACCATAAGGGCACGTTAAATCTAGCTACCTCCCAATACTTTCTCTATAATTTCTTGACTCTCAAGGAAGATACCTACTTTTATAGGTCTATGTTGTTGCATTCTTTGTCAGATGACGGAGAAAGACCTTGTCTATAGAGTTGTGACTTAGCTATGGCTGTTGTGTCTATTAAAATGTTTTTCTTTTTTTTTTTCTTTAAGGTGCTTAGATGTCGTTTGCTAGTCACAAAGGTCTGGGAAATGATTGAGGTGTTTCCCATCTATCATTTTAGCAGGAGGTTTTTGTGGCCAGCTAGGATTCGAGGGATGTAAGGAACAATAGAGGACCTTTAGAGGGCTTGAGAAACCCTAGTGACATGTAACCTTGTTAGATTCCCTGATTTTCTATGGGTGTTGGTGTAACAGCCCGAGCCCATTGCTAGCAGATACTGTCCTCTGTGAACTTTCCTTTTTGGGCTTCCCTTCAAGGTTTATAAAACGCATATGCTAGGGAGAGATTTCCACACCCTTATAAAGAATGCTTTGTTCTCCTCTCCAACTGATGTGGGATCTCACAGTTGGACACGCCGTTATTTGTAATTGTTGTCAAGATCTTGGAGCCTCTTTCCTTATTGGAGTTCCTTTTAATCAACTTTGTTTTTTTGCATGCCTGTGTATTCTCTCACTTTTTCTCAATGAAAAGTTAGGCTGTTTCTAAAAATGGAGAAAGAAAAAGGTTAGAAGGGTTTCCTTGCCTACGGCCCTTAGAAGCAAATCTTACCTTTAGTCTCCATATTTCTTAATCAATTGATAGCTGGTTACTGCTGCTGCTCGGCAATTATGAAAATAAGTTGGAGGCTTGTAGATTGAAGACTTTTAGCTTCTTTTAGATACTTAGTGTTGGTAAGTTTATTGACAAATTGACTGCTCAAATTTTGATGTATTTGCTTTTTTTTTTTGTTGCTTGACAGGAGGTGATGGCAATGGCGCCACATCTAGTGATGCTAAGTTTATTTCTAAATCCTTGTCAATTAAGGTTTCCATTATTAAGAAACCAGAATTGACTCCTCGGGTGGAGACTAAACAAAAGTTAGAAGTTCAAATTGGCGACACGAATAATGGACTTGAGTCATTGTGCCAAAATTATGGTAGTGAAGAGGATTGATATATTTTAATATAGGTTTAGGTCACATTTTAATCTTTACGAACTTCATCTTGTATTCTATGTATTTTTCAATCCATGCCATTTCAATTGGTGATTTTTGTACAAACAAAAAGTTGTATCAATTGGCAATGTTGCCTGTACAAAAGAAAAGAACCCATGAAGAAGTCTTGGTTGGATTCGACGTTAATTCTCGTCTTAAAATAAGTAAATTTCTCGAGTAAAATAATGTTTCTTTGTCTTAAACTGTATGTCCTTTGATTCCATAATCCGTAATTACAGGACATTCTTTTTCTTTGTACGGAGAACAAAAGTTGAGGAAAAAAAATGAAATATACATTCAAACAATTATTCACCAAATATAATATGAATAAGGTCTATTCCGACAACCAAAAAAAATGTAGTAGAAGTTGATTTGCAGCAATGGTAATTAATGTAAAGCAAATGCTAGAAATTTGTGAAGCCGGCCACTCCACTCGACTCAACTCGCAACACCTTCAAACATATTTTAAGATGCACATGGGGATGATTATGATCGTGATGCCTACCGGTGAGTGTTAACAAAATACCTACCGCTTCTGGTATCTCTGAAATTTTATCGAATAGATCATAGCCAGATTTATTAGCTCCACCATTGATAGTTAACTCTAATCCTCAGTGCAACGATTCAGGTCTTTGTTGAATCAAGAGCTCTTAAATCAAAGACATTAACATTTCATACAAAATTTAAATCAACCAAAAGATAAAAGATCAAATATCTAGAACCAAGATTTGAAATCTTGTTCTAAATTGAGTTACCCCACAATCAAACTTGATCAAAACTTCCGTTTAAACTGTAACTTGATTGAATGACTCGGATGCAATCTACCACAATAATTACTTAAAACTTAGAAATGACAATTTAAAATTCTTAATATGGGATCTCAATTTTATTCTTCCAAAATCTTCTTTTTACCTAATAATTTGTGGGTATTCATAATCTCTACCTAAAAGAAACTTTCAATTCTTTTGTCTCTAATTAAAGAAAAGAAGGCTATATAGTCTTTACAACCTTAACCCACATGACATAACTCCCAAATTAAATTGACTCGTAAATGAGAAATACCTCTAACATTCATATTAAAATGGCTAGTTAATGGTGGAATATGGTAACCTGCATGGGTTACAATATAATATAACTCCTATATTAAACCCAAATTTAAATATGACAATTAAATATTTAAATTATAATTAAATAGTGCAAGGAATGAAATGTGCTTATTAGTCATCTTTAAACTAGTTCCATAAATTTAGCCGAGTTTAATAAATGCAACTTAAAATGCATTTAATGCAACTATTTCTTGAAACTCAACTTTACACAACATATAAGGGAGGTCTCCAACGTCTTCTAGAATTTCTTTAGTATACAAGGTTTGTTATAGTTTCTTGGCTCTTGTCCTTGTAATTGGACCTTGAGGTATGAAAATTTCTTGGTCGTGGTTCATATCAAGGTATACTACTGAAATACTATCGATGGTGCCTAGTGGGGAGAATCATGACCTTTTGACTGTTCCATCTTGAGTGGCATAGTGATAGGTAGTTTTACTATTCTAGCCTGAAAAGGCAAAGTAGCAAGTAAACTGTTCTAACCCGATGAGGGTACATGAGTAGGTGGTTTATTGTTCCAGTCTGGAAAGACATAGTGACAGGTAGTTTGTTAATCTTAGGAACAAGTAGATGTTGCCCGACACTAATAAGGAGAATCCATAGAGTTTAGTAGGAAGATACGTATGGAGTATGATCACTTCGAGCAAAAATGGCTCCTCTTAACTTGTGAGTATTACCTTAAGGCTTCTCCATGGGCCACAGTTATTCGAGGCACATTTTGCTAGGAACAGTTATGAACACTTAGCATATAAAATTAAGTATGACAAGAGTCTACAACTAGATTCCTTATTGATTATTTTTATACTCATTCCATATTATTCTATTTTTTCCAAACGGACTGCAGACCACTGTTGAGGGCTAGAGCATGCAGATCCATGCAGCTGTAGAAGGTGCCCTTTAGATCGAGCCGTCTTTCTTCTCATCATTTTATTATTGTTTTAAATGCTAATTATTCAAACTTATGTATTTTTTTAAACCATTTTAATTTGACTCCGAAGATATCACACCTTTAAACTACTTAAATTCCTTGTGTCTCCTGTTCTACAAAATAAAATTTTACTGCGCTCCTTTTATCCTCAATGTCCGTGACAACCTGTAATTCAAGGCATCAAAAATTGTGATGTTACATTCAAACACTAAGATTAAAAAAATAGCAATACTACCTGGCAATGTATAATAACTAAAATTAAGTATAAAAATAAGTAGGATAGGGTTAGAATGATTTTAACAATTACTATTAAGTCAAATCCCATTTAACTCTATCAAACAATAAATATAAAAATCTAAGTTAAAGAATCTTACAAATGAAAGCTCTAAAATGGTTATGAAAAATTAATGAAAAAATCAAGCATCACCTTAATTTTGAGAGGAGAAGGGAAAAGTTAGGATATGAGAGAGAAGAAGAAGAGAAAGGTAGAACAAAATTTTACTCCTCAAAAAGGTAAATAAAAAAAAGGAGGCCAATTTCCCTAAGAAATATCAGAAATCTCAAATACATGAAAATGGCAATACAAACATCATTCAAAATCATTAATACTCTTTATGGTTCAGTCCTTAAGAGATGAAGATATCCATTAACACCTCATCCAAAATACCAACAAAAACAAAATACCTAATTCCTTTATTTGGAAGCCACCCACCAAATCTCTTCCCATACCTCCCTTTGAAAAGGACAGCCACCGCCTCATATAGAAAGAAAGCTCATCTTTCTCCTAAGATGACACAATTCAAAAAATAAATGTCAAACTTATCAAAAAGGAAAACAGAGGCCCAAGAAGGCTGACCCTTACTACTTGAATCACTTGGCCCCGCCACGTATGAGATCACTCCACCAAAAGGGCCAGAAGCTGATGCCCACCTTCTGTTCCTGCAAGGAAAAAAGACAAAGGTGGGGTGTCCACAATTTGTGATGAGAACTGTCCAAAACCTTCCCCAGATGTCTATTTTTTTTTTTTTTGGTTAGAAATAAGATACGATATTGTCCACTCTGAGCATAAGCTCTCATACGGTTGGAGATGTATTCCTTACCTATAAATCCGTGATCATTCCCTAAATTAGCCAACCATCCTCAGAATTTTTGCAGTTTCAAATTCGGCTTCCCAGGTATGTGTTTAGTACCCTTTTCCGATATGAGTACCTTGAGTTTTGTGAGATTTACTATATCAGACCTAAATGAAGCTGCAAAGAGTTGAAAAAGAAACCGGTTCTTCTTCTGGAGCACAATATTATTTCAATTCAAGACTGTGAAAAAGCTTCATAATGAAATGATAATACTTTATTGCTGTGAGAAACTACAAAAAGAGCTCATCCAATGAACCAAATTGATGATGGGATAGGAAGTAAACATATAATACAGATGGATGGTTAGGTGCAGCAGCTGAATGGATCTATCTGTACGGGCTCCTCTATAAAACACATCATGCTAAGAATAAGAATTTCTACTATCTATACTTTTACTGTCTCATTATTAATTGATAGGCTACGAATATAAGAAGCAAGCTCAAAACTGAGAAAACCTGCAAATAAATTATTCACAAATCAGATACTTTATACAATAATGTAGAAACAGTAATAGGAATTGCAAAACAAAATAATTGGTGTTCTTACATTTCTTTTGGACGATGAATACAACAACTCTGGGAGATACCCCTGCAATCCAATGTTATAAACTGGTGTACCATCAGGATAGTAAAGACCATAGTTTCTCTCCGATGCTGGACCGGGCTTCAAATCCTCGTTAAACAAAGCAAAAACATAGATATCGATTGGAACTGATGGTTTTGCCGGGGTTCCTTGTCCACTCTGAATTCTTCTTAGCAAATTACCATTATACAACCCTGCGTTCTCTGGTGTAGCACCGACCTCGTTCATATCGCCCTGAGATGGCCAACCAGTCTCAGAGACTTGGACTTGGATATCTGTATGTCCCATGGCTTTGATGGCAGCATAAACCGCATCGATTTGAGCATACAGCATATTGTCATAATGCAAATTTGTAATGGGATCAGTCATCCCTTGGTTAGGCTGGAACAGCACATATTCTAAGGGAACTTGGGCAGGGCTATCCTTATATGCAAAAAAGGGATATGCATTTATAAGAAAAGGTGACTTAACCATCGAGTGGAAATTGAGAATTGGCTGTATGAATTCAGCAAGATCCGGCTTGAATGTCCCAGCCGACGGAGGGAAAGAGTTGGCTAGGATATTAAGAGAATGAGCTGTGGTAACAGAAACCTGCTTATCCAGCCTAAGATTAACAAGCGCGTTATAAACAGATTGCATTGCAGGAAGAAGATTAGACCTTAATTGGGAATCATTGGAGTTGAAAACTTCATTGCCAACTGTGATGCAAGTGATTTGAGTCTGAGAGATGTGTGTTTGAATATTTTGTTGAACCCAAGCTAGGGCTTCCTCGGGATCGGACATGTTCTGAAGATATTCATTACCAAGTCCTATAATGAAATTCACATCACTCCTGGAGAATGCAAACAAGACATTAGGGTCTGCGTCGTACAATTTTACTCTACTGATGTTTAGACTTTGGAGAAGAATGGCGACGCGTGATGGAGACGGCAGATTATTAGCGATCTGGCCATAGTTAATTCCAATTCCAACACTCATGGTTCGGATTACTGAACCTGAAATAAAACACAATCCGAATTCAAGAACAGCCAAAACGTTGAAAGAGGAACGAATCTTAAATTGAAAATTACAGGGCATCACAATTTCGTAATTATTCACTGGAGAACAGAAATTCGTAAAAGACAAAGAATATGCTACAAAAACGGAATTACAATCAACTAATCGTTGCAATTTGTAGAGTAGAAGCAAAAGCAAAAAGAAACCAGAAAGAACTACAATCCTCTGCAACTCACTGAATGCAGGAAACAAACATAGAATCTCACTCGATGACACACTCACAACTCCCGTAACCTAAATTTCAACATTCGTTCTTGAATATCCGATTAAAAAGAAACCAGAAAGAACGACAATCCTCTGCAACTCACTGAATTCAAGAAACAAACACAGAATCTCACTCGATGACACACTCACAACTCCCGTAACAAAAATTTCTACATTCTTTCTTGAATATCCGATTAAAACAAACAAGAAACAAGTTCCAAAGCATTTTCCGCAGTTTCCGAGCAGCCAAACAACCAAGAACAAGAAAGCAAACCTGAAAGAGTGAAAACCATCAACAGAACTCGGAAGAGGCGGTGGAAGTTAGCCATGAAGGACTGAAATGATAAGGCCAAACCAACAAAACACCGCCGCACCGCTACGTCCGCCTCCGTAACGGCCGTGAATCAGCAGAAGGATAATCCCCGGCCAGAAACTGGGGGCTAAATTTCATGGAGTACGCGTTTTACAGTGAGACGCTGCAGACGCATCCGGACAGCCTTTATTTGAATTACCTTGTTTTCTAAATAATATATATTTTTAGATAGTTATTTGTGTAATTAAATATAATTAAATATACAGTTTTTAGGTTAAAATGACAATATTTATTTTTTACAGTTTTCAGAAAATAGATTATTCCGAATCTAAATTGTTCCCATTCCCTCACACCCTCTTTTTCAATAATCAATTCATAAAAACCTGTGGGACCCTCCCAAATATTTCTAATTTAAACCTTTTTCTAAAAAAAATACTAAAATTTTATTAAATAATTTTTATTTATCATTTTATCCTTGAATAACCCACCTTAAACTATTAATTTTTTTATAATATTCATATAGTTTAGGAGTAATAATTGTTAGACGAACACGACTCTCCACAATGGTATGATATTGTCCACTTTGAGCATAAGCTCTCATGGCTTTGCTTTGGGCTTCCCAAAAGGTCTCATACCAATGGAGTTAGTATTCCTCACTTATAAACCCATGATCATTCTCTAAATTAGCCGATGTGGAACTTTCATCATCCAACAATAATAATATATGGGAGAAAATACTTCTAAACTTTATAATTTATTTTAATAATTTCCTCCATTTTTAAATACCTTAATAATACCCTTAAACTTTAGAAAGAATCTAAAAATTGTATTATTCTAAATATGTGGATAGAAATGGATATCTATACCTATAAACTATATTTCTCCATAAATCTCTCTCCCTCTCCCTGCCATCTTTCTACCCACTAGATCAGTCCAATGATCTATACAATCTCGCCCAGTAGAATGTCTATGGCCCAATTGGTCGCCAACGACCTAACTTCTAGACTTGTATGTGCATCGACCCAGTTCAGTAACCTAACCCATGACCTAATGATGTTACCTCATGATAAACTATAATCGACCATAAGGCATACAAGACGGTTCATAACAAAGATACAAATATACCATGCCCTAAAGTAGCATTCCATAAGACAAGTCCATTAAGACACGAAGATAGCTAGGTACCACGTAAAAAACAAGAACCTTAGACAATAACAAAGAAATTAAGAATGAGGACAAGGATATGAATCATGAGAACTAGAATAAGAAAAATAGAATCTTAGAACTAAGGTCGGTAGATTAGAATCAAGATTTATAACTCATAATCCATGACAAAGGTCTTTGGATAAACCTGAAGATAGCTGGTTACCGAGTCGGGTTGAGTCTTCGTGACACACTTCACCGTCTAGTGCAAGAAGCATTGCTCCATTCCTCTCGTGGTGCGCCACTCTCTTGGCCAGACGCAGTCTTCCATTGGCGATTTGACACATGTCTTCGCCCCTTCCTGAAACATGTCCATCCTGCCGCCGCACGAATTTTCTAGATTTCTATTAGATTATCAATTCTTTTCTATTTTCTTTAAATTTTTAAAACTTCCTATACATAACTGGAATGAACTTGGTTTCTTGACTAAACCTATCGAATTTTAAACCATCTTTACCAAGGTATTTTTCTCGTAATTTATAATTAATCATAAAACGAAATAAACATGTCCAAAGATGGTCCAAAACTATAAATCTTACTATTCCTTGACACACGCCAGAATGTCGTATACCGATTTAAACTAACTCTGACTTCCTTCATGAATATTGTGCAAAATTCCTCCAAGAACATCAAGATAATCCCAAAAAAAACTCCAAATCGGGAGAAAAACCAAAACCAAAAGCTCGAAATTCTTACCTTTGTTTCTTACTTGATTCTTAATGGATTTGAGTAGTCCAAAAGTCGAGAATGGTTCGTCCAAGGCCACTAATCTTGTGAAGGAACTTCGAAATTCTAACTCTAAACTATGATTTGGAGCAAATTCGGTATCTCTTCGCTTCTCTCTCTCAAAACCCCAAGCTTTTTCTCTCTTCCTTTCCTTTCCTTTGTTCTTTTTTTTTATTCTCCGTTAACCTTCTTGGTAGGAATAACCTTGTTAGGGCTAATCCATACCAGTAATTAGAAAAAGGGTCAAAATTACTATTTTTCTTCTCGATTGACTTTGACTCAATTTTTTACTTTTATAGCTCACTTTTACCTTACATGTAGACCTTAAATTTCTACATACTCATATCCTAAACATATGCAATCATACTTTAGGGACCTATCTTTATTTTTCAGGGGTGGCCTCCAATCTCGGACTACTATGGATGTATAGTACGGAAACACACGATCTACACATGCAAGTGTGAATCTCCATGGGGCTTGCACACCCTTTGGACCCTTTCTAGTCAAGCTAATCTGTAGCGATATCTGGAGGTCAGTAGAACCCCTTGGTGTCATCCTTCCCATGAACACCCTCATCATCATATTGTGCTTGACCACACTTATCGTCTTTGGGGAAGTACTTCTAAATTTCATCTTATCATCTCTTCTAACAAACCTGCTCATCTCTTTGATACATTAAGTAACATATGCTCGTTGGATATTTATATTAATATCATTTTTATGCTCTTGAGGCTGTGTCCTATGTTGGCCTATCGACATGATGCAATATAACACCATCTGTAATGATCTAAAAGAAATAAATTTAATTAATTAATTAATAAATAAATAAATAAAACAGTTGTTGCGCCAAGTCGCTGCTATAGAGCTGCTATAATGGAGGGAGAGGATAGTGACACACGTGGGTTGGAGTTGTAGAAACATTGAGGAGAGAAGGGTTTGTGAGTTGGTGGAATGAAAATTATAAAGGTCCGGTAAGAATGTTTAAAAAAAAAAACGTAGAATAGAGGAATAGAAAGAAAGAAAAAAAAGAAAACGAGGAAGGAGAATCTTACCCATATACTCGGTAAATCGTAAGGTTCTTCAGCGTTTGTTGTGATAGTGTGCAAACGTGAGGATGGGGCGAACGAGTGTGATGATTTTCAGCCATTGAAACTCTGAATTTAAGCTGATTTAAGCGTTTATCCCAAAGGTAACGAAAACCCATTTGTTTGACCTTTTAAATTTCGATATCTTGGTCTATATTGCGTAATAAGTTATAAAATAAGGCTGGTTAGAATTATAATAAGGAGATCTATAAAGTTGTAGAAGAAATCGAGGTGAAATTCAGATTGTAGAAGTAAGTTATGACTTAGGGATACAACGGGTATTAACGGAAAAGTTGGGAAAAATTGCAGAAAACGCGAGGTTGAAGACGAGCGCGTGAGAGACACGTGGGGCGAATGGGAGTCCGAGAGTGAGAGCGCGACTGTGCGCAGATCAGGGGCGTGAGAAAATCACACCGAGCGTGTGCAGGCGCGTGCGTCATCATTTTGGCTCCCGGTTTGTCCTGTTCGACTCCTTTTGACCTGTCCTATCAAAGTTAGTCTATATTTATCTTGAAAATGGTGAAATATAGGTCTAATTGGAAGAAATTGGGTTGAAATACCCTATTAAACGTACAACCAAGGGAAAAAGGGATTCGAAACCAAGTAGTATATCGTGTGTTAAACTAGTTCTTTAACTTCTTTTACAACATGCGAGTATGTTGTTTACATGATTAAGAGCTTAGTATGTTAATATGTGCTATGATAATATTGACTAATTAATTGTGTATTGTGATTGCTTGCCTGTGATGTAATCATGTTATAAATGATTACTAGAATGTTCTATGTGTCGAACATTATAAACATATGAAACCATGCATTAGACGTGAGTATGCTAAGCATGTTAATGGAAAGGTTCTGATTCTAGGATATGCTTATAGATTGTGGAGCCATGACCTAATTATACGAGTATTGTAGTTTACTAATTCCCGCAGAGTTCTTGACCAACGCGCTGTGTCCTAAGTTAGAGAGAACGAGTACTCCTAACCGTTGGTATATGAGTTATACTAGCCGCTAGAGAAATTAGTAGACCGGTCGTATTTGACAGAGAGCGAGTCTTACATACAAGTCCAAAAATTCTAGATAAGCATATAAAGAGAGTCAGTAACCTAAGCTGGAGGTAGCTGAGATACCTCATTAACGAACAGATGATCCTAGTAAGAGAAACTAGAGTCAATGGCGAATAAAACTTAACAACATCGGGAAAGATTAGTTATAATTCTTGAAAGATAAGTTAAATGATCTAATTACTCCTCAAAATTATTATAACTTTTCTTTCCAGATTTAGATGATGCAAGCCAACCGAGTACGAGACCAAAGGGCTACTAGAGACTATTGGGAATCCATGTCTGGGTTGGTTTATGTAATTAGTTATTTAAAATTTATGTTGGCTAATAATGTTTTAAATAGAACTGGTTTGAAATATTTTACTTGATGTTTATGTACATTTTTTTGTGGAAATCTTTTGCAAAATTTATGATTGGTTGTCGGAGTTTGTTATCGGTATCGGTGGTAACTCCTGATAATCGTGTTGTCGATGAGCTTGTGTTACACCATTATCATATAGCATGCTTAATATGGAAAACATGTCATGCAATCATCATACTCACCATATTGTCATAAAGTACCTCAAGCATATCAAGTACGTCATTTATCGAAATATATATATTACGCACATCATCAAGCATCATAACTCATTTATCATCATATACTAGTATACGACATCATACGATACAACTCATACATGAGCATAACTCATACATCATAAATTTTAACTCATACAATTTATAGTCTATTCTATAATAAGGTCACTTGCTTGGTTGACATCAAGCATATTAAGTAGCCAAAGTTCTTGGAATTCGTTTTCACTTATATCGAGCTTTCACCTATTTTAAATATAAACTTAATTGACTCAATAAAAAAATTGAATTTCATGTTTTCATTGTTTTTATAGTGCTGGGTAATAAAACTTAAATAAAAAAATATATTATTTAAAGTTAAGACCGAGGTAAAAATTCTTGATCTACATTATTTTTTTCTTTTTATTTTATTATTAGTATTTTCGTTGTTACATTACATTTTTAAAATAATTTCAAAATAACTTCAAAATTATAAGGGTTGGGTTGAATGGGATGTCGGGTTTGGCTTGGATTCAAATTTTTGAACCCGATCCG